CCTAATGAAACTTACAAGCTTCTGGACAGCAAAGGAAACCAGAAGTAAAACAAGAAGACAACCTACGGAATGGGAGAACATTTTTGCAAGTGAAACCGACAAAGGCTTGATCTCCAGAATATATAAGCAGCTCATACAACTCAATAAGAAAAAAATAAACAACCCAATCCAAAAATGGGCAGAAGACCTAAACAAGCAATTCTCCAAGCAAGACATACAAATGATCAAAAAGCACATGTAATCAATATTTAAATAACTGGAAAATTTCCCTTTTTTCAACGTGTGATACATTAGTTTTTTTTAATTATTTGAGTATTCAGGTTAATATTATTTTATCAATAACAATATTAAAACATTGAGCATTGAGTAAATTACAAATAGTTTTAAACATATCACTCCATGTACAAGAGCCTATTGGACTAAAATTATAAGAAAACCTATTGAGTAGTTCTAGGTGCTAGGTCCGGTTTCCAATGCCCTATTGTGTTTTCTTTCTCAGTGTACCTTTATCTCCGCACTATGAGTGCTACAGTGTTGTATTTTATACACAAGGACACACCAGCACAAAGAGATGAAGTGACTCGACTTGTTCTGGGTTACACGTGATGCAGTCACAGACAGGGTGATTTCCCTTGTTCCCAAACTTAATGACTATGACGTGGCATCCCCTGCATTTAATGAGCAGCACTGAGTCACTGGTACATCCGTTGAGTGTGAATTCTCCGCAGAGCTGAATCTATACACGTGAACTTTGGTCCGTCTGCTTCGAGGTAGAGCCTTTACACAAGAGGCATCCTGGTGAGATGCTGTCTCAGTGCCTCCCACCTCTGCTCCGCTGACAGTAGTGAAGCAAGGCTTCATTTAGAATTCAAATCTTTGGAAGGGAGTCTCTGAAGAAAATGCTTGCCTGATCCCCTAATCCATATTTGGAATGACAGTAATGATGGAGGAGACAAACACTTTGAGTTCAAAAACATCTCAACACACTGCACAAAATGTTTTTATCTTCATTCGAGATACCGAGAAATACAGAGATAGGTATTTCCAAATCTCTTCAACTCTACAGCTCATCTTTTAAACACCTGTGTTCACTGCACAACACTAGGGAGGAAGGAGGGAAACAAAGGAAAGTAGGAAGAGCCTCTGCCCACCCCTGTCTAAGCATGTTGCAGACAATAGCTACCCATCATAAACACGTGGACAGAGCACCCGTGGTAGGCACCGGCCTCAGAAATTCACACGTGTTATCTCAATCTCCAAAACAATCTTTTTGACTGAGCTCCATTATTCTTTCTACAGATGATGCAGGAAGATTAGGTCACTTGTTAAGACCACACAGAGAGGGACCACAGGGTCTTTGCTTAATCATCCTACTTCATCTCAGCAGTCAACAGAGAAAATCCACACGACTGAAGCTTTCAAACAATGTGTAAGTCCCTTGCTCTTAAATATGATCAGATAGACAGGAAATTTCAGACATTTAAAGAACTATTGTAACATGAAAACATAAAGGAAGTCTTCAAAGAGATGGAAGAAAACTTTAAAAAGTACCTATAAATGCTATCTTGGAAAAATTAAGAAAAGGTGTTTCACCTATGAAACACAAATAGGATGCTAATTTTTAGAAGTGGGCAGACATTACAAGCATAAGAAATAAGTTTTAGAAAATAAAAATGTGAGAGCACAACAAATTCAATAGAAATAGAAAACGTGAATGAGAATAACAAACATAGAGAAATGACAGTCGTAGAAAATGGTAACAGCATGAGATGATCTAAAATCTCAACCTGCATTGGACACACCAGCAATTATTCAATAAATAATTTAAGACAGTTTTTTAGAACTTAAGGACATGAACTTCCAAAATGAACAGTGCCCACTGGTGACCAGCACATTGAATAAAAAATACACAATAAACGTCATTAAAATTAATAAAGCCAAGCATATGGAGAACTCAGACACTTTCAGAGAGAGAGAAATTTAAAAGTTTAGACTTAAGAGACTTTATACCAGAACAACTTACAGCATCAGAAGCTTGAAGAAAACGGAGCAAGGTGTTCTTTATTTTATGCACCAATTGTAGATTCTGAGGCTCACGCTGAAACTTTCCACCAGGTTCTTCATATTGTCAGTTTCTCTTTGTGTATCTAACAGTTCTGCCATGGCTATTTTGATTCTCTTTTCTTTGTTATATAAAGTTTTATCTGTCATTTCTTCTGACTTTGTTTTACCCTTTTTCCAACATGTACTCTCTCTGTCCCTTTTTAATCCTCCTACATTGAATTCTTCTTTGCTATTATGAAAGTCACCTCTATTCCGCGTTTTTGTACATTTATCTTTTAGAATTCTTGCCACCTCATGATTTTCAACAGTCTGGTTGTTTCCTTTTAGAAATGTGTTTTATGAATACTGGAGATACTTAAATATATTTGACCATGTACTTTTCTATCAATGTCAATAGTAAAGTGTCCATGATCTGTCATACACTCTCCCCAACTCTTTCCGTGAAAATAATGAGAATTTTAATTTTACACTTCTTCCTAAAGTGTTCCCACTGCCGTCTGTTAAAAAAAATAAACACCCTTTGAAAATTTTTCAGCAGGTAGAGCAAGATTGCACTATTGCTTTAGAATAATAATCGTGGAATTAATGAGGATACATTGTACTTGACAGAATTGTGTACTGATGGCAATTCTGGCTAAGGAGCTATTTTAATTGCTTAAGGGAAGATAAGCATTGCTTGATCTTAGGCCTATAAAGATGGAGAGATGACTCACTGGATAAGAGGCCTGATTAGCGAGAGGTGAGTGGCTGTCTGAGATGTTGGGATTTCAATATTGGGTAACTGGGGGATGATCATGGCATTAATTATCACAGGAAGTGAAAGAGAGAGAGGTTCCTCCACACGTCGAGTTGAAGTATCTCAGGAACCGGAACTGTTAGTTGCAGATAGAGGCCAGTAAAGTGGTGAGTCAGTCTGCAAGGAAGACTTGAAGAACCTTCCCCTAGTTCTGCCTGGACCTGGTACCTGGTTCTGTAATCAGACATCTACCTGGCTGATCCTGTACTAAGTACCCATCTGTGAACCAGCCCTTCTTAGATGTTTCTCCAATTCCAAGGGCTGGATGTTTCCTTTAATCTCCAGAGTCCACAGAAGGGTTCGTGCTGCCCCTTAATCCCCTCATCCCAACTCCTCATTTATATGGACTGCTTGTTGTCTCCTGCCCTACATCAGTTCAGATCCTCTCATGCCAACAGCAGACACCAACTTCGGCAAACTTACTCAGGAAAGGAACAGTAACAGGCACCACGAGGACTCAATAGAAAAGCTCAAAACCAAGTTCAGAAAAGAACCAGACCCCCCGGGAGGCCAGACAGGAAGAACCATATTCCAAAGGCAAGGAAATGGTCAGACAAGACTCAGCCGCTGGGTCTGTCGCCATGATGCTGTGAACACTGACGCCACGAGAGCAGAGCTTTCAAACCACTCCACACGTCTGATGCCACTACTGCTACTACGCGTAACATCTAAGCTGACTGGCATCTGTCCCGCGAGGGTCTTAACTCCCTGACGGAAGTGTTCCCTTGGCTGTACCAAAGGCGCCTGCTCATGTCCTTGATGGATGGAAACAGAGGATATCACGTCTCTTTGACGTCCCTGGTGAGGGGAAGGCATTGTGTTCCAACAAATTACTTAGCAAATATTTATTGAGAACATATTGTGTATCAGTTCTAGGCATTGGGGCACAGTAATGGACAAGTAAAATTACAGTAAAACAAGCAAAAATTCTTGCCCCATAGACTTGTAGGGTGAATGTACAAGAGGGTTTTTGGCATGCTTTGCCTGAAGCTTTTTTCCCCCCAATCTATTACAAAGTAGTTTTGCAAAGATCCAAACGTTAGACAATGATTGACTTTCCAAATCTATGGTTCCTTAAGAATTTAGATCAGCTGCAGGGTTGGAGATCCTGTCTAATACTAGATCTATTCTAAAGGCGGCAAACCTCTGTTTAATTTCTCAGCTCTGCACTTTCAACAAGCTCTCAGTTTCCCGCTCCCAGTCACCCATGCTTCTGTCTAACACAATTAACATTTGCACCAGCCTGGGCTGTTCCTCGTGGACCTTTGACAATTCAAGAGGTTCTAACTTTACATGCACAGGCAAATCCTGAAATATTATACACACTACTAATCCTTCTCTATGTAGTTTCAACTCTAGACCTTCCCATGGGAACAACTCCCACCTGAAGTCATCTCTCACCCAATCTCCCAGTTGAGGGGAAGAAAAAATGTAGTTGGTTTGGTCATTAATTCAGAACATCCAGTATCTTTACACAGATACAAGGGGTAAACATCTAACATGTTTGATGCAAGAATTTCTAATCCATGCCCACTGAAGCCCAAATGGCGGAAAGCTGAAATCTAGAATTAACAACAAAACATCCCGCAGAAGCAATATGATGAATGAGGTCAAGTGTAAATTGAATCACAGTGAGAATGCTTCAGATACCGAAG